ATAAAACATTAATTAATCTCAAAAATACATATTTATTACTATAAAACTTGGCAACCATTCTTCGATTCCATTAAGAAGTAATGTTGAGGGAATAATCGTCAAATTATCAATGACCGTTTCACACAAACGTCTCGACTATGTAGAGAGATGTACTAATCATAGAATTGTATAACTGAGTTGAATCAGAAGAAAGGCATGTGCATTGATTGGTACCACGATAACTGCAGCAAATTCGTACTTTAGAAAGGCTTGATGAACCTATTGCGATTGAAACTAATGCCACTGACTATCAAAGTCAGGAGCACTGGGAGGGATGTCTTTTCTGAGACAGTAGCTGCTCATAAGACTTAACTGTTTACACAAATCAGCTAATGGATGGTGAATAAATAGGTACCTTAGTGAAATAGTGTGAAGCAAAAAAATATACTAAACATTTTATTCAGTCGGAAGTTTTTGTTACGTCTTATTTTCAGAAGTTACTGTCAGAATAAAGAGAGAAATGATATCATTTGACTGTCGAACAGCAGGTAACCCACAGAACAATTTTATGAATTATTTGGTATTCGTTGATCTACGTCATGTCAAAACAAGCCAATGTAGACCTTTATATTTAAATTCCTATCTAACATAAAACTTATTTATAGGTACATACAACTAACCGGCATAATAACTACGAATGCCCTGTGGTTACCTGGCTAGCGTAAGTATAAATGAAAGTTATATGACTTTACGAATATAGAAAAATGATTCAGAGGGAGGAATTAGCTTATCATTCTCCAACTTTCAACACCAATAGGTAAAACTATGTTTGATGGAGATTAGATACAAAGGATTTTGCACAAAAATCAATCAGCCTGTCGAAGTAGCCAGTGTACAGTCTTTCAAGAAGTCAAAAACTGTTTGAGCATTTTAGAATTTAAACGGTAATCACTGGGAAAGGTTCATTTTGCTTTGCTTTCATTTAAAACGTTTGGTAACGAGCAGAATGTAAAAATGATTTTATAGACTATGATATAAACAAAGTAATGTCTATTTGTGGATGCAATTAAATATGATATTTTAAGATTTGTTCAGGTGCGAACTTGACAAACGTAGAGGCCAATCGCTAATTGTTCGTACTTGTTATATATCCACAAATACGAGACAAAGAAAGAACACAATAGCGTAGTCGGATGGAATTGTATATTTGCAAGATCGTGCCAAGATACCAATGTGTTACGACTAACTGACTAGACAGTCGACCACGAGCAGTGCGCCAAATGGCGGTGATGCTTGGCCGACTGCCTTCAGCTTAACGAGTCCAGTTAAATTAAGAAGATAAGCATCAATGTTGAATCTCGTCGAATCCTAGGCTATTGACGCTTGAGAAGTGTGTGACGCTACAATAATAGCCTAAGTAAAATCACAGACTGTGTTATAACTTACTTGATGGCTAAAAGAGAAATCCAATACACGAGTTTATTTCTATTTGAAACTCGTCAGCTTGATCTGCCAACACTTTAGAATATCAACATGAAATTACACGTATCAACGAGTAACAGTATTGATGGTCTGTTGTATAGAAATGAGAGTTATCAGAATGAAATTCAGTATCTGAATAGTACGTATTGGCAGCAGACTAAATTATAATGCATCAGAAGGTTTGATAAGTTTTTTTACACATATTGATGAAAACGTCCAGAGTTGAGGAAAATATTGACCGCTATTCCTTGGTTTCCATGATTAGCTTAACACGTATATAACTACTTATAATGAGCTATCACAAATAAGACATTGCGATAAATTGAATGTAAGCCCTGCCTACTTACCTCACTTCTGATGTATTACAAGTATTTTCAATGTGATATTTCTGAAACTTTCATAATCCGTATTATGCGGAATTAAATCTTTTAACAACCTAGTGTTTTCAAATCAGTGAATTCGCAAACTATGTAGTCTATGTTGATAATGAAAACAAATAAGTAAAATACCTTGTTGTGAAATTTCACAATATTTTCGCCAAGAAATCGAAATATTCTAAAGACAGACTGTGATGTTATCAACACCACCAACTAAGCCAAGATAACAAGCACGGTATCTATTTACAAACATCTGATATGATTTGATAGAAGGTATTACGATTTCCCTCTAGCTAGTCAGAATGTCCGTCATTCTGAATATTCATTCATCCAAACAGTACCACCCTAGGTACACCATTGACGAACTGGATAGCCAACAGGTGTTCAGATCACCTTGGTCTGACATAAGAACACTGCTGGCTAATATAAGTGTGACACAACTACTCATGAAAGTCAGTAGAATATCCCAAAGTTCATATTAATCTCTCTAAGAAGAAATACGAAATATTTACCATACGACTATATTACAAGCTGTTTATATGAATCCATTAAAGTTGATTTCGTAAATTCATAGAGATCATAAATTGACTATTGGTATTGGAATTAGTCTCAGGTGAAGCCTAGTTTAAGATTGAACAAAGTGAATATTACATTTAGCTAAGCCATTCTGCTTTGTTTAACAAAAATCACTGTTAATTCTTTACTGAGGGAGATAGATATTAGTATTACAACTAGCTCTATAAAGGTAATTAGTTAGGCAGCATAAATCGATTACGATATAATGTTCAATTAATCATTCTAATTTCTAGGTACCTGTTTTATGCCTTTTTTATGACGTTCAGTATAAATGGATTAAATAAATTGGCATTAAATTACCTATTATCATTATTTTATTGATTTTATTAACTTTCCACCTATTTCTATTGTGTATTTAAATGTAATTTTACAAGGGCTGAATACAGTTAGTCAGAATCATAGAGTAAAATACAAAACTGAAGAGAAAAGTAGTACACTTTCTTTTACAAAGTAATTGATGAATTCATGTTGTTGTGTTTGTTGATAATTTGTTGATTAGTTCTATTCAGAATTCATAATCAATAAGAATAATGTCCCAGTATTCAGTAAATGATATTTTAACGTTGAAGCATCGCATATTACTCTACTGGTTTTGTCTGGATAAACAGCATATTAGTCAACGGTTTAGAGGTCAAGAGTATATCTGAAGTAAGATCCATGCTGGCGCATCGCTGTGCTTTCAAAGTAGTACAGATACTTGGCGATTTTTGAAATGGCAGTAGGACTCATGTATTGTATAAAGGCAAATGCGCATAGAAATGAATGTCGACCAATAAAAATAATGTGACAAGTAGCCGATCACTTCAGCAAGCAAAAAGGTATACAGAAAAATTCACTGAAGTATGAAAGCGAAGTAAAAATTAGTGATGAAACTGCGGTAATTGTTACCAATAAGTTTTTGTAATATTTGTGAACACTTACAGCTCAGAACTAGAATGCTTGGATGGAAGTGCATTCTGAACTATGACTGTCGATGGTAGAGCTAGAACTGAATTTTTTGATATCTAGGTAGACAGATGAAGCCATAATGTAGTGACTTAAATCAGTGTCATTGCTAACATTGTAGCCAAAATTGTGGATCCACAATGTAGGTGATAACTTCATGATTCTGATTGAGATTCAAGTCGAAAAATACTTCTCGTCTGATCAACAGTAATTTCTCATCGATGAGTTTCAAGGATGAAAACGAAACAGATGGTTAATTAGCCAACTTAGATATTCTCTTAACTATCACACAAAGCGAGGGCCTGACAACTCAATTTTATCAGAAATATTCATAAGAATAAAATCCTAAAGTACAATCGAGAAAACCTTAAAGTTCATCAGAAAAGATATGTCAGAACACTAGTCCAAAGAACACACAGCATAAAGAAAATGAAAGAGGTGGTGAGGAAAGAAACACTTTAAATATTTCAACCCAACCGACATCCAAGAAGCTTTACAATGGAATCCTTTCACAAACAGTAAGAAAAAGCAGTGCTAAGCGATAAAAACTTGTACTGTGATTCATCGCAAATATCTCTGAAGCAACTAGAAGACTGATTATACCACTAAGAATAGATAAATACAGGAAAATAGAAGTTGGTTCTGAATGTAGTGTAAAACTCAGTCAACCCAATATCCAAAGGGAAAAAGTAGAAGTGATGTTAAATTTCACTTTCATCAGTTATCACCATCACTACTTTAAATATTCAAGCCACCCAATTACAAATTGGTCCACGAACATTAGATATCAGTCAGACACTACGACTTGAAGTCGTTGATTTCACCATAGGTGATCAGTTAGGGTCACGGATTCCACCTAATGTTGTTAAGTCTTGTAAACTTCAAAGAATCAGGGGAATTCTTGAAATAAGAATTCTCAGACAAGATGATAACAAGTAGATATGTAAGCTGCATGTACAAAGCTGTGAAGTGAAAATTCTTGTAGGACGTGGGTGAAATAGGCTAGGATGAAAGCCATAACCATAAGAAATATGAAAATATTAGCAAACCGTAAGAAAAAACAGTGATTAGTTAAAGTCATAAACATCAAATCACTCCTACTGAATCATATCAAAGTAAGGAAAATCATGGACAGCATCTCACTCAGTTAACAGGCCTCAACTATTTAATAACCTTTCATTCTCTTACCAAGAAATACAGAGTTAATATTTGTTACTGATTGAAAGTGGTTGATTTTGAAGATTTTAATAACTTGAAGAAGTCTTATTGTCAGGAGAGAATGGCTGAAAAGTCACTGTATCAAATAGTGTAGTGTGAACAATAAGTTATGTTCTTCAAAAAGAAGGCACTGATCTAGGTGGGTGGAAAAGATTTCGATGCTGGATATTAGTTGGACATAGCAAATAGTAGCGAAAAAAGTCTAAAGCTCGAAAGAAACATTCTCTCAACACTTTACAGTACTAGGTAGTTTTTTCAACCAAATTCAGTAAACAATCAACACTGCGTTTCATATATTTAGAATTCGTAAAATTCAAAATTGTACTGATGACATCCAAAATTTTTTAATTTTTTTTTACTTTTCCGGTTGCACAATTTCACCTTGACGAATAATCTCTTCAACACGATGAAATTTTACTACAGGTCGCAATAAAAATGATAGATAAAGTCAAAATGTATAAAAATTGCAAAGAAAAAGTAAGTCTGATAACTACTGAAAAACTTAAAACATTGAATAACACTTACTGTATTGTATTTGATTCTTGTTGCTACTTTGAAAGTTATGAGTGAAGTCATAGAAAATAAGCGGACATATTGATAACCTGACTAACTAAAAACACTGGGTGATGGATGATTGGAGCCGAAAGGAAAAGCTGTGTAGCAGCAAAATTTGATCAAAAAACCTCTAGACTACCGGTTTGGTGATCTGACAACTTAAGTACAAAATTAGTCGCTAATTCAATCTTGTTGTGACTTATGTTTCCATTCCATCTTCATTCATCACATCCTACCAATAGTGCTACCCTGCAAATCAGTGACCATCTGAGATCATCGCATAAAAAATAATAAAGACTAACTGCTCTAATTACTAGTTTACCACACAACATCTCATAATAACTGCATTCCAAAATTGTTTATGCACATCAATCCAACTTCAAGATTATTACACGGCATGAGTTCGAACCATGTTCAGTGACATTTTGAAATTCAGCTCGAAGGAAGTACTCTTATTATTGATTCTTTGTTGATTGGATGACAACTTCAACAACAAGGAAACAGAAGAGCGATTCTGTGCGAGTGGGCGGAAATTATCTTTTTTAAGACACATTACTGAACATAAAGGGAATATATCTGTAAACAGTTTTAAGGACTTTCAGCCTATACTTACCAGGTCCTTTAGCCGGCTGGTGATCACTAATACTTCAAAGAACCAGAAAAGTTTCTTTAACCATGGAAATGATCATTTCACTGATCGGTTTTCTAAAATCAATTAAATATTGGTCCTTCTAGAACAAGCCTAGAATATTCAAGGTCACTCGTTAATGTGCAGACAACTGATTTGTAAACTATAGAAACTCTGTCGAAAAGTCTCCACTGGTACTACTACATGTTTCTTCTTCTAGACTCAGGGGGATATAAATAAAAAAATCTGAAAGTTTAAGTCCAGCAATTCAGTCTTGTAATGCTTTGTGGTGAGATATGTCCATAGTAGATATGCATGATTCAAAAAGTTCTAAGGTGGGAATGAAACTGAAATGTAAATAAAAGAATTATAAGATTCAGTCAGTTTTATTTCACCAAGGAGAAGTGAAAATAAATTTACATGTATATAACCCGCTGTAACTTTATTTGTTTATAAAATCTTATAGGATACCAGTTATTTACTTAGAGTTCGCATGAGCTGTTAAATACTTCTTCAAGGAACATAAATCTTTACGCATCACCTTATTCACAAATTCTGATGAAAAAACTCAATTAATCTCTGATTAAATGTTCCTGTGCTTCTCACTTACCATAGTATTAGACCAAAAAAATGATTTAAAACAGTCGGCTGTTTTCAACAAAAAGCATTAAATATATTTTATGATTCAGTCAAGTAAGAAAATTTGTTTTTTGAGCAACGCATTGACCAGTTGAATTCTTCTGTCTACTGAAGCAATAAACGCAGATAGCCTTGTTTCACTTCATCCAAAGCACATAAGGAATTCAAAAAAAGGTATCTAATAAACAATTTAATCTCTTTCTCATGAGAAAAATTAGATCAATAAGTAGTGTGGTTTTATGTCTAAGTCTCATGAGGAATAAAATCATTGACTGGGAGGCAGATACAACCAGCTGAAGGGTACTAGTTATGGCGAAACGCATGCCCTGGATTTCATTGCTAGCCACTGGCCATCATTACGATCAGTAAGTACCTTCTTCGAAATAGTATTGAATACGAAACCTAATAGTTGAATAAAGGACCAAGTGAATTATGAGACTATCCAGGACATGGTTTAATAGTTTATTCGAAGGTGTGAAGTGGATTGATCGACTTTAAGGTGGTTTTAATCCTTAATCTGTATTAGCAGATGAGCCACTGAAAACCACGGGCAGGTAAAGATCTGTTTTGACCCACTTAAGAGCTGTTCAGTATTTTGCACCTACAACCTTATCTGGGGCAGAGCCCAGTTCTGTCCGGTCCCTCAGAATGCTATCACTCACATAGCATGTTTGAATTCAATGACCTACAGTTTTAGTCTTTTAAAATTTCTAAATATAATCCATTACATATGTAAATCAAGTAGAATAATTATTTGAATGATGCTCATCCACTTAAATTAGACCATTTTTTCTCTCATGTTGTATGAAGAGGAACTATTTATGATGACGGATCTAATGCACACTTTTAAGGCATTATCATTACAAAAATTCAGTTGACTAAAGCAAAGAAGAATCTGGTAGATTGACACTTTTCTTTGATGCAGGATAAAACTTAACCTGTGACTACGAGAAAGGTTTTAATTCAGTGAAGATAAATCATCTGTACGCGGTATATAAATATGCTCTTTTGATTCATTCATGAAAAAAGCCTTTAACCAGCTAAGATCAGAGGACAAGATTCAAAAGCCTTCACTACCAAAATCAATGACAAAATATATTGATTTCCTTACTAGAGTGAACAAATGAGGCAAAGTAATACGAAGAAATAAAACGTGCGGAAAATGGAAATAATCGAACAGAAAAATAATAGGATTCTCAAAACTTTAGAGCGTTATAATTGGTGGATTCATGTGGGTGTCTAACATATGTTCTAAACCATCTCACATTAAAATCTTCGTCTATTAATTATATTTCCTAAACGGCTGAACATAAGAAGTCCGCTGGTCCCCACGTAACTCATATCGACAGTCAGTCCTTCTGGTGCCTTTTCTTCGTTAGGCTCTCTCCATTTAACTCCTTGTTTATGGAACCATATATATCAAGAAAGTGTATGCACCACTCACCTTAACCATTTCACTTATTTCCTAGCCTAAGTGATAACGATTAACTTTCTTCGACTACAGTGCGCAAAATATCTCCACGCTGACAATTATAAGACAAGAATTAAAGCAAATAGTAACTCCCATTAAAATCTCGTTCGACCCTACAGTAATATATGGTAACTAACAACAAGAAATATATGCAAATCTGGTGGTCATATGAACTTGAATATTGACATCTATTTACACATTTAAATGATTTCAAGATTGCAATTGTGTAACACTGTTTCCCCAAGTTTCGAATGAATATTGGATAATGGATAAACACGAATAGGGATTACCAATGACAATTGCATTAAAATTAAAAACCATAACGGTCACTGAGGAAACATAAGGTTTTAGGTTAAATGGAAATAATAGTAATATGAAAGTTAAAAAATGTAAATTAGAGAGTAAAGAATATTAAAACAGATTGTTACAGAATATGTACAAGTTAGTTGAGTAACTTTACACCCTAATTAGGTAACTTCCATATTTATGGTACACCAGTGAGGAACAAAAGAATATACCAGATGTTTTTGTACATTAAGCTGAGGTTTCAAAATCTGAACTGTAGTAGAACAAGACCAATCCTTGTGGTGCACAGCATATGACTGGATGTCTTCCGATCACCAAGATAGCAAACTTATATCTACATTGTGACTAGTATCAATTTAGGGGAATGGAATAGAAGTGTTAGTCATCTTTACTTCTGCTGGCCGTAATAAGAGATCTACCTTGACTCACTGTGGAAGGGTTTTCCTGCCGTATGTCAAACAGCTGACTCTACAGGAGCAGTTGAAGTTACGAACCCATCGGTAAGGGTATATAAGAAATTCTATCTTACACACCTAGCAGTAAGATGCATTTGTTATTGAAAGTTAGTCTCAGAACGGTAGCAGAAAACGTCTTCTTCAAAGATGGTTGAAGTTTTACTGCGAAAGTTTCAGTCAGATTATCGCATAGACTCATAAATATTTGTTTATTGTCTCTGGTGAAAATGACTCATTTCTCCATTCATCAGAGAAACGCAGTGTCAATATTCCAGCTCACATAGCTACTCGGTGTGAAATACCTTCAGTGAAGTTACATCCGAATGAAAATAATGAAAATTCGTATTCCCTAAAACTTTTGTCCCTTCTTACTGTTTGTTTTAATGAAACATTTTTCAAAATGATTAAAATATCAATTTCTTTAGCTTAGAGGTTTGTATTTATATAATTTAGTTCCTAATATACTCTAAAATACAGTTGAAAAACTAAGGTTTACGACCAGTGGTAATCTACTCTTGGGAAAAAACTACTACTTAGTACATGCTTCTTCGACTGCTTCAACTTGAACCGTGCAGTTAGCACTTAAAACGCAAAATAAAATATCTATTAGAATTTACCTAAATGAAGATAAATGATGTAAGACATGCGAAATAACACAAATGAAACCTGACCAACCAGCTTCCTTCTTCCTCTAAGTCTTACCTTGAAACTAAGCACATCTTTTTCATAAGCTATTCTATGAAGGAAGTTAGAATAAAGCGACTGTGGCTTTCTTTTCAATTTCTGCTATCATATTCCATGATATTCCTAGTGTCAAGATACATTTTCGTCGCATTTATTAAAGAAACTTAGAGAAGTCAAAAGAACTTCAGTTTTCTGTCGACGAAAAGACCTTTTAAAGTGGAATGCTTCTATGATAATAAACGACCAATACCTCCTTAATCAAAGTAGAAAAATACTCCTAGCTAGTACTCAGAACGCATCTGTATATAGAAGACTCGGCTGAAATAACTGCTAAGGTTTCATAAATCATATGTTCAATTTTGGATGGATGGTAAAAAACGGCTTAACACCGATGGAGTTGCCTAAGGTAGCTCTTTCTAGATTCAATTTTAGTTTAGATGTCTGCATGAAATCCAGTACCGATAATAAACAAACTGTGAGACATCTTATGACCGGTATGTTGAAAACAAGTCTGTTGTATGTGATGGATCAAATCATGTGATCGGGTTGCAGAATTCTGTTAATTAGGCATATCCTTGTATAACTTTTATAACGAGTAAGGAAACTAAGAACACCTGCTTTTTCACCACAGATATCAAATGAGATATATCACCGATCTATTCAATATAAGAAACTTGAAATGATTGGTAAATCTGTCTCTATATTCTCCACTTTATTAATTATAAAATAAGAGTGGTGA